AACCTTACTGTTTCAGTCTAAAAGATTTATTGCTAGCCTGGCATTTTGCAAGGTAAATACAAAACTAGCTTGTATTTACCTTGTCTAGCTTTAGCTTCTCTGGTTGGAAGTTACACTCCTAGCAGCACTGCAAGGCAAAAATTAGCTCAGTCTTAGTAGTACAGGTAATGATGTGTAGTTCTAAGCTGTAAAACAAATGTTAGTCTTGATGACTACCAAAGAAAAGCATCCAGATTCCTGTCATAACATGTGTGCAGCCCTTTCTTCTTGCTGCTTCTTTCCAACACCCAATGCACTACTCACCTGGTGTGTGCACTCTTGTCTAATGTTAATAATTAGACATTTTCAGTAATTAATTTTAATCCAAAAATACCTGAAGACTAAAGAAATAGAATTGAAAGACCTGTTAAAAGTGTCACTTGGAACTGTTCTTTTTTTTTTTTTTCCTTTAAGGTCCATAGGTGGTTCAAATATATGAATGACCCATGGGGTTTTGTTGAGTTGTGTCTCCCCAAACGCTGTGGCCAGATTCACCATGCTTCATGTATTTGTAGAAGCTGATGAAGAAACATGACCGAAAACCTGGTCAAAATGTTGAAGCATAGGAATAGGCAAATAGGGCATCTCTTTAGTTTGAATAAAATGGTAGTAGAACAATGCAATTACAAATCAATGCATGGTGACACTTAGCTCTGATGTAATAGTTCTCACAGACTTGAGATGCCATGTCTGTGCCCTTGGAGTGTTCATGCTACTGTAATAGAAACTTGTTTGCTAAGGAGGGTTACACTGAGGCAGTCAGACCAGGCATCTTGGCACTAACACACTCTCTTTTCCAAAGTGACAGTGAATTGATGCTGCTCTAAGCAAAACCCTCAACAATTGCTGGTACTTTAATAGCTGCTGCTGTATTTTGAAATGAAATGGTCAGCCATGCTGTGTCCCTTCAGTCACTTGATTTCCTATTTAAGAACTGTTCTGTATAAATAAGGTCAACTTTAACTTGTTTGCAGCCTTAAAGTGTTATCAATGAGAATGATGTACAACTACATGTGTGATGCGTGGAGTGATTCCCCCTCACGTCACTGCTTCTGTGTGTTGGTTAAATGGTGATGTCACAAGTGGGTCACTGACTTTGTGCAAACAGAAATCACACTGGCTTATGCTCACACAGGAACTGTACCTTAATAAACATAAGTCTCATATCTTGATAAACACAAGTCTCATGGAAGAACAGTCACTCCTCACCCTCGTTTTCCACCTCTATAAAAAAATTCCTGAAGCATTCCAGTTTAGCACTAGCTAATATGCTAAATTCATGATAGTCTGCTTTGTACTTGTACTGCTCCTGATGAGTTGGAGCTGCTCTCTGACGTGTGTTTAATGAATTGACAATGCTAAAAGTGATGTAGCCTTCATTGATTGCTTCCTCTTTGTCCCCTCACAAAGGCTATGCAATGTACACTGGTGCTTACTGGCTTCTTTCAACTGATTCTAGTTTGTGAATCTGCCAGGAAAGCTAATCCAGCCAAAGAAATCCCAAGCTAGTGCACTTACATGGAGCTGATATGCTCTAATCAGCTTGGCAAAAGTTCTCAGAGCATCAGCCTTGACACAACAGTAGCCTTGAGGCCCCTATTGCTGTTAAGTCAGCTCAGGTGCAGTAAGGCAATTTAATTTCCTCCTGTGTTAGGAGGGGTGCATGCTTTCTGTACCTAGAGAAGAGCAAGCAGCAGTACACACAGTGAAAACATTAGGAAAGGTTTCCTGCATTTGTTGTGGATGTAGCCTGTGAGCCTTACCCCACAGCCCAGTGGGAGAACAGCCAGCAAAGCAGAGAGTTAGCTCTGAAAGTATTTGAAGATCAGTTCTGTAAAGGCTGTAACTTTGTCAGATTAGGAGCTCTGTGATTTCTCTGACATCTGGTGACTTCAAGGATTCTGTTTTCTTCCCCCAGACTGTCCTTGAAGAACTACCTATGAAACATCTCTTAAAATATGTCCTTATTCTTTACAGAATTCTGAGGGCAGTACTGAAAGCCTCATTTTGCCAGAAGTGGAGACACCTGCAAATAATGAAATGAACTCAGTGTGTGAGAACTCTGGTGAGAGCCCAGGAGATGAAGCACAAACCGATGCTAACTTGGAAGTAAAAAACACCTCACCAGAGAACAATAGTGCACCTTTGGAGCAAGGCACTGTCCTGCATGGGGGCTGGAAGCGCCACGTGCCACAGTGCTTGAAGAGGATTGCTGAGTCTTCACTACCAGCAAGACCTAGGCAGAATTGTACTTTTCATGCCCTGACTAATGCACCAAGTAGTAGAACACCAGCAAATCGTATGGTAAGTGTGTCTGTGAAGTTATCATCATGTTTTCTCTGATACACGTGTATTTTCACTTGAGTTTTTAGCTATTACTTGAGTTTTCAGGCAGAATGATAGAGGAGACTTTGTCTTAAAGATGTAAGAGAAAGTATGGGGAGTGATATCTTGGGAAAGCAAACTTCAATCGCTCTTTTGATTTACTCTGCCTCTTTCATCTCCCTGTCAATATTTACACAGAAGCTACTGTTTTGCAATAGCAGCAAATGTGTTGCCTCGTTGCTTCACTTGGGAGCTAGTAGTGTGGCTGTTTCACCATGCAATTTTCTTTACTCAAATACTTTCAGCTGTTCTGTGAAATCTCCCCCCACCCTGCCCCTTTGTTGGTGTGTGTGCTGTAGAAGCAAGCTGTCAAGAACAGTTGTGAGTGAAGCACTCTGATACATTGGAGTAATGGTCCAACTCTGTGTTATAGGTACAAGAACCAAGGCATCAAATAATCATTAAAGATCTTTCTCAAAGAGGTAAGTATTCTATAAACTAGCAGCACTTGGAATTGTTTGTTTTTTCCTGTTGACTTTAGGAATAGTGTAGGGAGGCTAAATATGCTGAAACAGGATTATTGCTACACTTGAGAGAAGTTGTAATCCCTGTGGCGAATTGCTCTACTTTGAAACATGACTTTTCAGCATGAGAGTGTAAGTGCAGTCATGATTTTAAGAATAAAGATGGTACGAATCTTTTTAAAATGGGTCTGCATTGAAGCAGTGTGCTCTGATTTAATGACTCTGAGATGTAGGTCAGAGCACGAAATTGTTCTGTCAAATTTCCACTCACATGGAGACCCCATTGAATCCCCATACATCTGCCTGTACGCAGCGAGTTGTGGTGGATGTCAAAGCAATGATCTGGTGTGGCAAACCTATGCCAGCAGCACAGTGAAGTGGTTAAAACCTACAGCTGAGTAGGCCTGTTAAGTTTAAGAAAATGTGCCAACCAACGAAGCCTTCCTCAAAACCACCTTTACTGAACAATGCCTTAAGAGACTATTTTGAGATATGTAGACCAATATGTTTAGCTGCTTTCAAGATCACTTAGTAGGAAACCTATTTGTCCTGCTGCTTCTTAGATGCCAAACCTGGTCTTGCTGCTGCTGTTTGGTCTGTGTGGGTAATGGCTGAAAATTAAAGGTTAGCTAAAACCAAAAAATCTGTGTTTTAAAACCTAAGCTGATGTGTGCTGTATGTTGTTGGTTTTTTTTCTTTCAGAACTGAGAGAGACCTTCGAGACCTTTATAAAGGAAGTACCACCAAAAAAGTGGAAGCAGTTTATGAGAACTCATCTGCAGGAAAATGATATTTATAAAATTAGGTATAACTTTCCTTATGATATAGAAGAGCAGTCGTATCAGATGCTTCTCCTCTGGAGAAACACACTGGGAGAGAAACAATGTATTAGTAAGTTACTGGATGAGTTGAGGCGTATAGATACTAAGGCTTATGATAATGTATTGAACACTTTAAAAAGTAATAACATTATAAGTAAAGTAGAAGCTGCAGATTAATGTTCACGATGAACTTCAGAGATGCTCCTATGTACATACATGTGTCTACAAACTTCCTGTAAATGAGGACGTCAGCAAACTGCTCGTGATGACATGGACTTGATATCCTCCTGACCTCACGTGGAGAGGTGGAAGGGATTGAACACTGTCGGTGTTAGCACAGACTCGGGTTGTGACATTCCCTGGGGCGTTTTGAGCACAGACTCGGGTTGTGACATTCCCTGGGGTGTTTTGAGCACAGACTCGGGTTGTGACATTCCCTGGGGCGTTTTGAGCCGTACAAAGTGCCACTCAGCTGCTGGAGTGCGAGTGGCTCCAGCTTGTGCTTCCCTTCCTATCAGTGCCGTGTCCTCCCAACCTGCCTGGTGGGAACAAAAGAAGCCGCTGCTGCTTTTGAGACTACTACAAGTGCCTTTGGTTTCTTAACCGATGACGTTTTGTTACTGAGCTGCTCCAGCACCGTTATGTTTAAAGCACAGCAATAAAAGCCTGGTTGAACCAGAAGCAAGAGTTGACTCTTGGACTTTCCCCGCGGGGAGTGGGAGATGCTCGGCGGGGCGGGCGCTGTCCCTATTCTTCGGGACTCCCGTCGGAAATAACGTAGCAACGGGGCGGGACGGGGCGAGGCTTCCGGACACGCTGTTGCATCAGCTCGGCAGCGAGAGGAGGAGGAGGAGGAGGCAGCAGG